GCCAAAGCATTTGAGTTTCCTCTTCAGGATCTGGCCTTCTAAAGAACTTTTGCCCTCCATTGTTCCCAGCATGAGGCTCTTCTCCAGTGAGTCCTTCCTTCTCATCAGGTGGCCAAAGCATTTGAGTTTCCTCTTCAAGATCTGGCCTTCTAAAGAGCAGTCAGGGTTGATCTCTAGGACTGACCAGTTGGATCCCCTTGCAGTCCAAGGGACTTGCAGAAGTCTTCTCCAGCACCAGAGTTCAAAGGCCTCCATTCTTTGGTGCTCAGCCTTCCTTATGGTCCAACTTTCACAGCCATACATTGCAGCTGGGAAAATCATAGTCTTGACTAGATGCACTTTTGTTGGCAGGGTGATGTCTCTGCTTTTTAGTCTGCTGTCCAGATTTGCCATAGATCTTGAACATAGGCAAGAGTAATAGATCATCTCAACTAGGATTCAATGTGTGGGCCTGAGTCTTCATGCCTAACATTTGGTTGTTGAAGAAACTAAGAAATTACATCAATGTCAACCCTGGAGTCATTTTCTTTAGAACCTTCAAGGCTCCCGTAGCAGAGCTATGGGGGCAGTAGAGATAGCTGGGGATTTGTAGCCAAAACAAAATTCTTTCCTCTGGGAACCAAGGTCTTTCTCACCAGGTGTTAGGAAGGTGGAGACTGGGACCAACTGACACTTTTAGTATGGTTTTGGACCATGTGATGCAGGGGTGGGTTGCTGCTGGCATTGCTATCGGTTCGCTTTGTGCGCACTTTGCGCATGTGCCACGTGTGCGTTGATCATGCATGTGCAGTTCAATGTAAATAGTTCTGTGCATGCGCAAGGACCATAAAAACAAAAAACATGCCAGCAATGGCAACAGAGATCGGGAAACCAGTTCGGGGGTGTGGCCAGCCTGGGTCACTGCCTGTTCTGCGACCCAGGCCATAATACCACTACCGCTTCACCCGAACTGGTGCAAAGCGGTAGCAACCCATCTCTGATGTGATGGACTTGTGGGAAGTGGAAAGAACAAACTTTACTTTTAACCGCAGGAGTTTTGAGTCGGGTTTTCACCAGATGTGCCAATATGACATCGCTAATAAATCTGTACTTTGTGGGACATTCCTGCCTCAGGGTTTTGATTGTGTTGGGTGTGTTACTTGGAACCCTGACAGTCAATGCAAGCAAGTCTTTCTGACTTAGGTTGGGGAGAGAGAAAGCCTAAAGATGAGCAAAGATCATTTCAGTGGTGAAATTCAATTTTTTACTACCAGTTCTGTGGGTGTGGCTTGGTGGGCATGACAGGGGAAGGATATTGCAAAATCCCCATTCCCACCCCACTCTGAGGCCAGCCAGAGGCGGTACTTGCCGGTTCTCCGAACTACTCAAAATTTGCGCTACCGGTTCTCCAGAACCTGTCAGAACCTGCTGGATTTCATCCCTAGATCATTCCATTTGGAAAACATGTAGAGGACCATGCCCAAGCTTCTTGCTTTCTTTTTTGACAGACCGATGAAGAGGAGGAGGAAGAAGAGGAAGAAGAAATTGATTGGTGGAGCAAATACTATGCCACAATGGGAGATTTATCAAAGAGCGGACATTATCTGGAAAAGGGATATGATAGCATAAAGGTGTGCTTTTAAGAGAAATATCATAAGAATATGGGGCCAGGCAACCATTGTCACTAGAAATACCAGCTCCCACATTTCCGCAGAAATAGCAGATGACTTAACTGTTTTTCACGTCATCAAATTCCCACCAAAGGGATCCCACTTTTTTTCTGAACCTTGGGGTTGGTCTCCATATGCAGTGAAGTTGAATATTTAAGTTATCTTTTATGATCAAAGAGGCAATGCTAGCTGAGGAATTGTGGGAGGGTTTTCAAGAGTATGTTCAGTTATTAAATTCAAGTACAGTATGACTAAGGTGACCAGATTTTCAGATTGGTAAAGAGGGACACCTTTGACTGGGGAGGGGCTTGATTAAAAATTTTATACAGAGCAACAAAAATTTTCATATAACGCAGAAATAGTATTGTAATATTTTTTTTATTTCAACATAACTACAATTTACAAATAACTGTTGCCAAACATCAAAATTTTGAT